AAGAAATGAATCTGTTTCTTCAGACTTCTATTTTTGCAGGTGCCTCTGCTATAAAGGCCTCAGCCGTACAAAAGTGAACTAGACAAAATGTGCAGACGCTTTATTTGGCATGGAAAGAACCCAAGGACACAGCCCTGCTACGGTTGCAAAAATAAGAAAGAATATGGGGAACTTGGCCTTCCTCAGTGGAAACTCGACATTTGGGTGGCCCCGCTGCAGCCTGTGTGGGGCTGGCAGTCGTTGTCTCTGAATGAAGAGGCTGACTTAACCTGGATCTCTATCAAATCCTCCCTCTGCGAGACCGTGCATTTGGCAGAGGTACTGACAGAAATCCTCTGGCCGAGAAAGCGCAATCAAATCCTGTTAGGCACAATATCTTGAGAAGGGGATCCATTAGTTTAAAACACTGGGAAAGTTTAACTGTAGTTGTTTGGCATTTACTCCAGTTGCTGATTTATTTGAATTCTCCTTCAGTCACAAAAATCCCAAACTTGAAAAAAAAATAACAAGAGGGGGAAAAAAACCTTGATCTAAGGATCTGCAAGAATCAGTGTTTTTTAGGGGGCAGATTAAATTCTTCCAGTGTGCGTCTTCTATACATCACCCCCTACCTGTGTATGCACAGGAGACAACCAAGCAGTCCTAACTACTGGGATGCTTGTGAGGTTTACTGAGAAACAAATTCTGAGGTTAGTGCCTGGACAGGCACTAACAGCTGGGGTGGGAAGAAAATCCTTCCTCTTGTAAGTAGGAGGAAGTGGGTCCTGAATCATTGCATCCCCCCCGGCTGCCCCACTACCATTGGTTCAGTGTGCATAGTGGAAATCCACATAGCAAAAGCTTAGGCATCAGCCCTCTCTGCTGCTCACCCTTGCATCCACAGCAAAATCCCACCTCTAGGTAGCTAAGCAGTTTGTGATGGAGATGCTGGGGCCACAGAAGCATATTTTGATGCCCAAGGCAGAGTGCCAGTTTGGTGTGCCATCACCTGCTCTCTTCTGGGCCTTATGTCAAGGGATATTAAAAATACAATCTTCGTTCCAGTTCAAAGCAGAGCTTGAACTTCGTGAACCATCACTGGCAGGCACCATGCTTCTCTGCTTGCCACGTCCTTTTCACAGTCCTGTGAGGATTGCAGTTGCCTGTCACTGCCCCACTGTGCACCATCCCTGAGTTCGGGAATTTTAATGTTTGTCTCAAGAAATGTATTAAGCTCGCAACTCTGCAGCTTTTACTTGCCCAAGGAAAGCTCATAGGCTCTGACCTCAGGCTGTTTGAAAAGCCTGTCAAAACCCATTTGTCTAGGAGATTGCAGCAGCAAATATCACAGTTAATGCTAAAAGGCAATTCTATGCCAAGCTCATTCTAGGTCACTAACTTCCTAAGGGTATTCTTCCAAGAAATAGCTTCATCTTGAGTAGTTCTGCAAGAGGAGAGAGACTGTGAGTTACAATTAACCCCTTCTTCACAAGGAAATGCAAGAATCCTTCAGTCTATCACATTTATCATTCAAGATTTATTCAGCTTAGGACTTCCCTGCGTAGGGCCAATACTAGGAAATAGAAATAGTAGATTTGAATGAAAGAAAATACTCTTTGCCCTTCCAAAAAGCATATTATTTTATATGTGTATCTTGGGCAGTATCCCCACTTCTTTTAGGAAAGTAAATACATTGTATTCAAAACGAAAAGAAATCTCACACTGAAAAACTGCATCAACTCAAATAAAAGGCTTCACAGTCCAGAATACCCAGATACCCCTCAGGAAAGCCACTATAGCAAACACAAGGAAATGCAAGAGGCACATAGATCCAGCTTTGAAGGAAGAGATGAAGTCATGTAAGAAGTGCAATAGGGCTAATAAAAATGAACATGCAAGAGAAGTAACACATTAAAAAAAATAAACAAATAAAGCCAGCTAAATGATGGGAGGAGTGGAGATAAACCAGTCTTGGACAGTCCTACCAAAGGGCATCGGCTGCTGTTAGAAGGCTGTGGGAGGGACTAGCAGAAAAACTACCTGAATCCACAATACCTTAGATCACCTCATCTTCTAGAAACCACCTAGGCCATAAGCAAGAGACAGGAGGAGAAAGACAAGGTTATTCTAAAGCTTAGATTCTAAAAAGTTATTTCCTTAGTTAAACATAAGTTCTAAGATAATGTTAGCTCAGTGCTCACCAAGTGTCAAAAAACAACATCATGTTAGGAATTTTTGGGTAATAGAGAACAAATGTATATGTACATATACATGGGTGCATTATGTGTACACTATGTAAGTGTACACATAATGCACCCATGTCTAGAATTGTGCACAGTTCTTATTTCCCTTTCAAAAATGGTGCAGAAAAATAAGAAAAAAAAAATATCTTAATAGTCCTCAGTAGGCTAGAGAGCTGAGAACAGAAAACTGTCTGCTCCTATCCAACAGGTATCTTTAAATGAACCCCAGTGCAATGGGTTCAAAAGAAACAAAGAAACATGTCTCTTCATAGAGCACACTTAACTTGGGCAATTCCTTTCCATGGGATGCAATGGATTTTAAGTTGTCATGTGGATTCAAAAAGTGATTAGACAAATTCATGGAATGCATATATTGCTCACGGCATTAAACAACAATGCATCAGTCTCAAGAAGTCCACGACTTTCAAATGGTGTGGGAGGGTTGTAGGGAAGTATCCCCAAATGCTTGTCCTGCTCATGGACTCTTCAGTAGCTGCTGGGCAATGCTGGGGATGGAACAGGAAGTTCCTTGGTCTGCCCTGGGACAGTCAGTCCTGCTCTGATGCACTTACATATTTTGCTGCCACAGCCCAGCTCAGCCTCCAGGCCAAAAGCTTTCCTTACTGTCTCTGAAATTACCCTCTTGAGTTGTTCTGCAAGAGAGAGACTGTGAGACTGACAGGTGTTTCATCTGGATCTTTGCCTTTGGACTGTTTACATATCTAAATTCAAAGTCTGGTTCTAGCTAAGGGATTCATGCCAGAATCCATCAATATGGGAACACCTGTGCAGTGCACTGGGGGCCACAGAAGCCTCTTCATAATATAAAAGTCAGATGTATTCTACCCTAGTAAGTGAAAAAGTAGGATAAGTAAGGGTTCATATTTTATCTACTTTTCTTTTTTGATTAAAGGAACATTAATCTTAAAATCTATCACAGGCTACAAAATCAGTTCCGATCCATTATAGAGTGATAAAAATGATAAATTTATGCTGTAGTCTTGCTGTTGTCTAAAACCAAATACCTTAAGATGGTATTGCATTGCAAAGGTACACAATTTTCATGGAATCAACAACAGTCCTACTATCAGAGACATGAATAAACACTGTTAAACAGTATCTTTTTCAAGATACTTGAAAAAAGAGGAAAAAGCAAAAGCCCTCCCTTGAAAATAGTGATTTTTTTTCTAGGCTGTGTGAAATAATCATTGTTACTAAAAATATACCAGAAATTTGTATTTTGTGTAAACACCACAGGACTACATACACAAAGATCATTCTAAGAAGTGGTGTAGCTATTTAGTGTTCCGGTGAATGGAAATCTTTTATTTAAAGTACTGAATGCGACAAAACACAATGTGTTGTCCTCTGACTTGTCTAGAAGGACAACTGAGACCAAAATAAAACCAATTGCCATGGAGCAGGAAAGGGCCTGAATAGGTCACGAAAGAAGTGACTTATTGCCAGCTCCTGTTGATTTTACCCTTAGTCTTGATAGTTGGATCTTTCCCTAAAACAACAGCTTCAGCATTCAAACAACAAGATAAGGATCTCAGTTTTGACATAAAAATAAAATATGACCACCCCTGGATGGGGCAGCTCTGCTCTGACCTTCACACACTACCGTGCCTTCAGAGCGAGCTTCTCTCGGCTGGCTGCGCTCACTGACAGGTCAATGGCATGGCAGTGACCTTCCACATGACAGGAAGCCTGGGCTGGACTGATGAGCTGCCAAGAATTTTGGAGAGGGGTGCAAACTGCTCAAAATGGTGACAGCAAGGGGTGGGAAGGAGTGATGATGGGTCACTTAAGGTTCCACCCTTTCGGTTGTCCCTTTTGACCCACTTCCTCCCTGACCACAGGTGACACTGTGATGGATGTTTTCCCTCTTGGCACAGCTTCCGTCAGTTGCTGCCTCTGTCACTCAACGGGTTTGATCAGTTTCAGGGCTGATGAGCCCAGCATTTTCAGAGGATCCTCCCTGTCTCCTCCATACCATGGCTACTATAAAAAGACATTAAGAAATTATAATTATAAATTATCATGAAGTAGAATCAAAGCAATCCACATGGAATTGCTAGGAGAAAACTCACGGCAAACTTGAATTACTGCACTAAATATCTTGAGAGATCCTATTTGTAAAAACATCTCAAGAAATTTTCAGTGTAACAAATACCCATCCCTACAGTTAGCACGATCTGAGTGTTAAATGGGAAGAGCTGGAGATGGAACATGCAGAAACTGCTTGTCTTTGTGACAATACACAGTAGTCAGTTCACTATCTTAAATGAAATTTTGCCAGTTTATTTGAAATGAAACAGTATCTGCTTCTTGACAGACAGACTTGGTAATCCATGTAATGATCTTTAATTCTGACATTCTACAAGGAATGCCTGTTGGGTTTTTTTTTATGGGTGCTGAGAATCAAAATTACTGTGAGAATCAAAAAAACTGTTACGGAGAGAAGATATGTCAAGGTACTTATAAAGGGTCCTCTAGGACACTAGGACTTCTCTGATGTATGGACAATGAAACAAGTGCAACAACAAAATTAGTGGCCTAATGACCTCAGCTCTTGGAGGCTCTGTGTCACAGACTTCTAGAGCAGCTATTCAAAACCAATCGGGTACACCACTGATACACAGGCACAATGAGCCAAAAGTACATGACCTTCTCAGTGAGCTTCTTTGAAATGCAAACAAGAATCTGATGGATCAGGGAGGCTAAGCCTCTTTAGTTCAATGAAGATCAAATTATCTTCTATTTCTTCCCATAAAATTGTGGCAACAGAGTGTATTGTCTGTTCTCAGTGTTACACAGGAATTCAGAGGTGTTCAACAGTATGACAAATTTCACAGCTTGAGTATCCAAAACTGTCCATAAATTGTTTCACCCTCTCTAGTCTCTACCAAGTATGAATTGCTCCATTAACGTTCACGTGATGCTGTTCTCACCACACTGGACTCCTCTGTGCAGACCCACAGACCTAATCAAACACATAATCAATCAATCTGCTTGTCAGATACAAGCAGCAAACAAGACTTCTTTGTGTCCTACACAATAGCCTTTTGAGAAAAAAAGTGAGCTACTGGTTTGTAAGAGCACGTAATACACAAGTAATGCATGAGGGGATTGAGCCTGTGGCGCTGTGAGGAAACCTTGTGACTGAATTCCTGACAAGGGACATTTCTGATGGGTTACTCACACTGCCCTGACTGGTGTTCTGGAATTACACAGTATGAAAGAATAGTTTAAAAGATGACTTGCAATCAGTGGAGTCAAAAGCTTCTTACAAGTTAACAAAAGACAAAAGTGGGTAACCTTTTGGCTTTAGTATTGCTGAGCTTTCATGAAGGATGAACTCTTGCTGCAGAATTCCTCTCTGGAGAGCAGAAGGGAAAACAACAGAACAGCTCAACAGATTTTAAATATCTCTCTGAGATCCTCAAAGGACAATAAAAAGTCAGAAACATGACACCCATCCTTGTTTTGCCTCCTTTTTGGAGGTGTCATCAACTAGAGTCTTGAGACCCTTGAGACCCTGCAATGAGAGAAGAGTTCAAAGTAATTTAAGTGGGCAAATGCAGTCACATCCTTTTCTAACAGCCAGCAACATCTTTCTATTGTTATGCTGTAAAAAAACTTCCAGAAAAGCAAACGTGATTTGGACAGGTACCCAATAAAAAAACTCTAGGTCTGCAAACACACTTGGTTAAAGCTTTGCTACATACACTATGTGATCAAGTAATTTTAATGTGTGTGTAAATTGCATTCCATAACTTGGACCCTATTCACACCAGGTAGGAAACTTCAAGCCATGACAGTCCCAACTGATGAAATCAACTAATTAAATCTGCTAAAATTACTTTAAAAAAACATTACCTGTATTTCAGATGAGTGGGAAACACTACTAAGAATCAATTAAACGCTTGTTACATGCCATGTTTACCTGGCACCTGCCAAGTAAAATTCAATTAACACTTTTAAAACCATGTAGGAACTTAACCAGATAGAGTACAAATAATCCTCTACACAAATGTCCTAAATCAAGAAAGGGCCTGACCTTCATCCTTCATTATATAACAAAATCTAGTCAATGATTTCTGCAAAATCTATACACTTCTACAGATGTAAAGATTTTTAGATACACATGGCAACTTACTTTGATGCATTACATCAGAGCATACATTCCCTGCTCTTGCATTTGAAAATTGCTACAATTTCTTTTATGTAGAATACTTGTGGAAAAATCATGAAGGCATTTATGCAGTAGTAATTTGAACAGGGGCTTAGGTAGCATTCCTGTAAGTTTGCTTTACAGTGTCTATTGACAGACTGAAACAATTTTCATTAACCAGCCTAAAGAACATCCACTATCATCACCCCAGCAGCAGCAACTCAAGACCTCTGGAAATCATCGTGGCTGGTGCAGAAACAAAGTAATGGCCCATTATAACCACTGATGGAATCTTAAGCATCTTTATTTAAATAGTCAAAATAAGTATTTGCTAAGGCATAGCTAACCAAAGTACCACAACATTTATTTTAAGCACGTATGTCAAAGGAACACGAGTGCCACCTCCTGGTTTAGGCATGGAAACCACACTGGGTTGTTCTTACTGCATTACAAATTTTCAACTAGATGTAGGGCTTTTTTCTCTCCTTTTCTTAAAATAACTAGAACGTTCATCTTCAACATTCACGGAATGCTGTAGGAACAAAAATCACTACATGTAAGAATCCAGTAAAACTTGCTTATCTTTAGTGCCTGTAGCAAAACAGCTATGTAAACTCTTCACAGGTAATTTTCCCCAAATTTAACTTCACAGATGTCAAATCCTATTAAAATACAGGAATGACCACAATTTTAAGTAAATATTCAAGTGCAGTAACTTGTAATTTAAGAAGCAGTCTTGGAATCAATGTGGAGTATGTTCTCATGACTCTTTTCTACCCTAAAAAATGCCTTTATTAATTAAGTGAAGTGCGTCCATCTCCTATCCAGGAAGTGACAGAATCTAATAAAGAAAGGCTGAGAAATTTACTACAAATGGCACAAAGAACTGCAGCCCATTTCATATCTACTGAAACAGTCAAATCACAAAGTTGTTGATAATATAGGGGTAAAATACAACCCACTTTGAGTTCCAGTCCATCTGCACGTTAGTAGCAAGGGTAAAAACAGGTTGACTCCATTTCACACAACACCCTCAAAAGTGTATCATTATTATGGCAGAATCGTTTGATAACAACTACCAAAGTTCTTTCAAAGCAACTTTAGAAGCAATTTAAGAAAAAAATCTGCCCCAACTCAAGTGCTGTCCCCACTGCAGATACACAGACAACTGCACACCTTCCCTGTGCTTACAGGAGTAAAGACAATTTACCAACACTGGGTAAATGTTGGCTCTGGGTCTCTTGTTTTCTCCCCATATTCAGTATGGGCTGGAAGTACACAATGCCACACCCTGGGAGAAGCTGCACTGTATCAATTCTGTATGGCACTGTGTCCTATGGACTCTTAAATCTTGCCTCCCAATATTTCAGCTCTCTGAGCCATTTCACACTCATGTATACCCTCATAAAGCCTGTTTTTCTCTACAGGCTAAGAAGCCACTGCTAGACTAAATGTTCTAATTTCTCAGCTCCACACTCTTCTTTGTATTGACTTGTGGTAAATCAGGATCATAATCCTCAAGCCTTCTGAAATACATAGAGCAACTTTTTTTTTTTTTTCAAGTATATCCCTTTGGAACAAAACACATTCATGTGTTTGATGTCCCAGCAAACTCTCATTCATGTTAAGAACACAGACAATTATTGCACTTGTATCCAACAGCAGCAAGCACTTCCAGAAGGAAAACCACAACTCTTTCTGCAGTCACCATCCCCATGTTTTCTCATCCCAAAGCAGCACAGTCCACGATGCATTCATCAGCACTTGACCAATTCCTTGTTTGCCAAAGGTTCTGCCACGACTTCATCCCGCATGAACTGCTCCTAAAGAGAGCAAGCAGGGATTTAGGAGATTTACATTGTTTTTGGATCTCCTATACTCACAAACACCACGACACGCACCCAGGCTGGAGGACAGAGTGGTTATAAGTGGTACGAATCTGCTCCCAAAACATGAAAGCCGTAACTTGCCTACGAGGTGAGAAAAGCTGCCAGGGCTGCTGGAGTCAGCCACAGGAGCTCTTCATTCACATCCCTGATTTCGTCCCGCCTGTCCTACCCCACGCCCACCCAGGTAGGCATCTTTCTAAGCCCAAACACGGCAGCAGGAGACAAGAACAACGAGAGATCAGGCAGCAAATGTAGTCCCAAAGCAGAGACTTTTAAACGTCGCCCCACGCTTCCCGCACGGGGCGGCGAGCCGGGACTCGGAGGGACCCAGCTGGGACCGCGTCCGACTGCCCTTCCTCCGCACCCACCTGGTCGTAAATGACGCGCAGGATCAGGGAGCAGCTGGGGCAGGTGGCCACGTCCTCCCCGTTCTCCAGGTCCTCCTGTAAAAGCCCCGGAAGAGCGGTCAGGGCCCCGCCGCCAGCCGGCCCACGGGCCTCACCACACCGTTCTCCCCCCCCAGCCCTGCCCGGCCGCCCCTCACCCGCGTGATGAGGAACCGGTCCCCGCAGGGGCACGGGTAGCTGTAGGTCTCGGTCTCCTCGTCGTACTCGAAGTCCTCGATCTCCACCTCGTCGTGGAACACCGCCATGCCGCCGGGAAGCGGCGGGAGCC